AGCTGCTGCATCCGCGGAGCCCGGGAGTTCCCGTCGGCGGCGAGCCGACGCAGGGTTTCCAAAGTCAGCCAGATGGCTTCAGGAGGAGGGGGAGGCGGAGGAGGAGGAGGAGGAGGAGGAGGAGGAGGAGGAGGGAACGGAGCCGGGGGGGGGGGGGCGGTAAGTCGGAGGGAGAAGGCCTCCCCAGAGGGCGGCGGGACTCCTCAGAAGCCCTCGCGCCCTCCGAGCAGCTTCCTGCGCCTTTCGGGGCAGGCTCGGAAGACTCCTCGGGAGGCCCCCGGGGGACGTCCGGGCCCTCGGAGGGGGCCCGCCCCTCCTGGCGTCCGCCCTGGGCTCGCCGCCGACCCCAGGACGGTTCCGCACTCGAGGGAGCGAGACGCCGACATCTCGATCTGGCGATGCGGCCCGGTGCTCCGACCCCGCCTGCTCGGAGCCCCTTCTTTGGGGGAGGCCTCCGCGGAGGCACTGTGGCGGCCCGTGCCGGGCCACAGCTAGGGGAGAGCAGAGGTGCTGTGTGCCGGAGAGCAAGCGCCGACTGCTCTCTGGAGGTGCGGCGCCACGCCTCCCACTTCGGCGCCGCGGGAAAGGTGGTCCGTCGGTCGTTGGAAGTAGGTATTTATGGATGCCCAGGTTCCAGATTGCTTCAAGCGCCTTCCTACTTCCAGAATCGATGTGCTTCTGCGTGGTGCTCGCCTCTGGGAGGGCCTGAGCCCGATCTACTTGATCCGCCTTCCTGCTTCAGGTCTGTTATGATTTATTTCCGACCGACGTGCAGGGGCGGAATGCCAGGCCCCCCCACACGCATGGGCTTGCAGTGCCTCCATGCGCCCGAGAAAGGTCGAGCGCTAGGCGAAGACGGGCAGGCGCGAGATGTCAGTATGCAGAGATGAGGTGTAGGAGGCGCGCGGCGCATCGTCTAACCTGACATTTCTGTCCCAGGCCCCCCGCCTGGGAGCCGGGACGTACGGACGGAATGATTGGGATGTCACGGATCATGGACGTTGTGTTCCCAACCAGTTTGGCGATCCGCTTTGGAAAAGCAAGAATCTTGCACCATGTGGTAGCCCGGCGGCGCCGCGCGGCCAACCTGAGCACACGCTTGTCCGTGGGGAAAGCATTGAGATATCATCATCCGTTGGTTACAGAAGTGTTGATTGTTTGCAACCCTGCTACGACGGAGATTGAGTCCCGAATCAAACTTGCGTGGGCAAAGTCTGGCCTTCCCAAACAGGAGCTTGCTCGCGCTACCAGTCGTCAAAGCACAGATTACGACCGCTCCACGGCGCTGCTTCTCCGACGCTACTCTGTGGTCCTGGTTCCTTCGGCGACGAGCGAGGGGGGGAAGTGAGAAGGAGAAGGACTTCTCGGAAGGCGGCAGGAAGTCTCGGAAGCCCTCGCGCATTCTGAGAAGCTTCTTGTTTGTCGTCGGGGAAGGCTCAGAAAGCTCAGAAGGCCGAGGGACTCCCGAACCTTTGAGAGGGCCTTCTCCGTCTCACTTCCACTCCTCGCTCGCCGCCGCTTTCTTGGACAGCGACAGCTCCTCTGGAGTCGCGGCTGCGGTCCGCGCAGCGCCGCGTGCTGAGGCCGATTCTTCGGCTTCCGCGGCGCCGGGCCCAGGATACCAGCACGGACCTTGGCGGGGAGCAGCTGTCTGATGGCGCAATCGCTGTTCTCATGAACGGCCCCAGCAGCAGCAATGCGACCAAGTCATGCGGCTCCACTCGCGACACCGACTCCAACGGCAACTGCACCGCCACGCCAGCGAGGACAAGCTCCCCCAGAAGCGTCTCGAAAGCATGGCACGAGTGAACCCGGCGCACGACGAAACACTTCGAGACAGGTTGTGCCGAATGTGTGTACGAATGATTGTTGCAGTGAAGGTGTCCTGTTGTGGCGGTAAATGACGGCACAGGGAAGTGAAACTTCAAGGCGCTTTATCTGTGATCCAACGAACGCGAAGCGCTTGCCACACCGACAATACAAACGGTGGGTTGGCGGTATAGTAGCACTCGTTCTCACTGGTGCGAACAGGTGTGGGCATCAGCAGTTTCAGATTTGACGGCCGACAGTCACATAACCATTTGGTATCGATTGAGTTCGGCGCCACCGCGTTGCCCCGCGTAGGGCCATCCCACTGGACGACAGGCGCAGCCAGCAGTCTCCAGCCCCCCCCCGCAGGATTCTCCAGGATTCTTCCTGAAGTACCAGATCATGCAGCGCCCTGTTCAAGCATTTCGCAGCGTCTCCGATGCTAGGTCGCTCCAGCCGAGTATGCTCGGAGTACCGCTTCCACCACCTAAAACAATCCTCCTCCTCCTTCTCCTCCTCCTCCTCCTTCGAGCCGTTTTTAGGTGCTCGTGCGCCTCGGCGGCCATCGGCGGCACGTGTTGCCTCTTCGCTCCCCCGCTGCCCGCGCCGCCCCTTTCCTCCGATGGCATCGGCGGCTCGGCGTCGTTGTGTGCTGGCCCAGCTCCGCGCGGGGCAGCCTGCTCGCATGTCTTGTGGAGGGCGATCAACAGAGAGGAAGCAATTTGCCAGATACTTTCCAGATGTCCTAGACATGTTTAAGCATGTGTTCAACAGCTAAACATAGGCTTGAGACATAGTTAGGACATTTCCCAAGCAGTTTAAACACATTAACAGTTCAAAGATAGGACTGTTAGGGTGTCCATTGTCATGGCATCCACAACGCATGTCGCTGGCAGTTCACTGTGGCCGCGTCGTGGTGCTCATCAAGCTATTCCTGGACGCGATCCTCGTATTCTGAACGATGCTGCTATTTCGTTGACGTCCTTTCCTGTTGGCAACGTGGATCTCGCGGTGGTGGTTGCTCATGGGCATCAGAGATCGAATGGCATATCTCATATTTTCCTCGCGTATCGGCCAAGCCACGCCGCACCGCCGACCCCTTGGGGCGGCAGTGAGGGTGAAAAACGGCCTTTGCGGAACGATTTCTAGGGAGTCTTGGGGTTTCAGCATCTTGGGATTTCGTCGGGGGCAGTTGGCGGATCGCCGCTCTGTTCTTGGGTTTCTCTGGGCTCTCCTGGCAACACTTGTGAGGCCTCTTGGGAGCCGTTTTGAGGCCTCTAGGAGTCTCTTTTGGGCCTCTCGGGGGCTTTGTGGGAGCCTCTTGGGGGCCTACTAGCGCCTCCTCAGGTTTATTCGGGGCCGAGTGCTCGAAATGTTCACTCGGGTTCCCCCTCTGGGCCCTCTTGAGGCCGTCCTGGGGCACTCCTGGGTCGTTTTGCAAGCTTCTGGGGCCGTCTTGGGGCCCCCTTGGGCCGTCTTGGAGCCCTCTTGGGACCTCTTGAGATATATTGGGTCGGTCTTCAAGGCTTCTTGGGCCGTTGTGGGCTTCGTGAAATCCCCAGAGGCGAATGTGCTAAAATTGTACGTTTACCCTACGGAACGGGACGATCTCCGCATCTGGAGGGCTTCTTGGGACGCCTCTTGGTGGCTTCTTAGGGCGTCTTGGGGGCCTCTGGGACCGTCTGGAGGCAATCTTGGACGTCTTGGAGCGATCTTTCGGCGACTCGTAGACCTCTTGGACCGTCTGGGGGGCCTTTTGGGACCCTCTTGGCCCGTTTAGGGATCCCCTGAGGCCCCGAGGGTGCGGCCGACACTTTTGCCCCCCCCCCCCCCTCCCTTCCAAACCGGCCGGACCAAGCTCCCGGGGGAGGGGTTTGGGGAGGGGGAAGCATCTCACACGCCGTTACCCCAAGGGGTCGGCGGATCCCTTTCCTCATCTTGGACAGGGCGTCCCCCATGTTGACGATGACAGTGGCGACGACGGTAGCGGGAGTCGTGGTCGCGGCGGGCGCAGTGGTGGAACTGACAGTGTGCCTGACGCTAAACGTATCCGGATTCGCCCTCATCGTAATGGTGCTAGTCCTGCCGATGCTCTCGCTGGTCCACAGGTTCGCGGGCTCCGCGCCATCGAGTTACCGACGATCCCGCCCTTCCCCTTCAACGAGGATGCACCTGCTGTTCTTCCCGCGCCGGTGGATGGGATTGAGGAGGGCCTCGCGCCCGTCTCGGCGCTGCTGCTGCTGACCATGATGGCGAC